GTAATTATTAGTTGACAAACGATCGCCCTTTTTGAAAACAGGTGTTATCTTTCCTACCTTTAAAGCATCAGGAAATGCACCTGCTTTGAAAAATTTGTTAATTATTTAGGCTAAAATAGGAGACAGTTCACGTGCCACGAGCTTTATCTTAGACGGGTGAATGGAATCTAAGCCTGGCCCTTTGGTTTTAAGAGATGACATGATTTGAAAGACTTTGTCTGCAGATGTAGGACGTAAGTAAAAAGACTGAGGTGAACGAGATAGAATGGGAAAATGAAGGTCAACTAGTGAATCGGGGGAATTTGATGCAAAAGTATTACTGAAAACATTAGCGATATCGAGTGGCTTGGTAAGGGAACGTCCATCAACCGTTATTTTTGATAAGCATGTGGTCTCGCTGCTGTTCAAGAATTTTTTATTAACTGCCAATTTTTTCCTGGTATCATTACCGTTCTTATCTATTTGTTTTTCATAATAGTCATGTTTGGCCCTCTTGAGCAGCATTGAAAGTAGATTTGAATATCTTTTTAAGCGCGTTTTTAGAGAGCTGTTTGAAGGCTGAGATTTTAATTTTTTTCGCATGCTTTCCTTTTTAGATATGAAATGCAAGAGACCAGGAGTTATCTATGGGTTTCTAGGCGTGCGAAACCAATGTATGACGGTACTTGTGGTTGTGCATTTTGCAATGAATGCGCTTATTTTTGCCGAAAATTCATTAAACGCTTCCTCGCCACATTCTTCTTGTGCAACAAAGTCCCAGTCAGCACTACGCACTATCTCAACAAATTCCGCTGAGTTGAATACTGTCTTGGTATTATGCTTATTTTGTATGGGAATACAGGCATCAAGACAGAAAAATACAGGATAGTGGTCGGTGAATAAATAGTCAATAGCCCCGGACTTCGAATCAGCAAGATATTCGACAGTACATGGTCGATTAATGTGTTAGACCCATTCATATCACATCTAGTCGGGGAGTGAATCAGAGATTGTAGGCCAAAACTAAGAAAACAGCGAACATATACCAAGCAAACTGGAGTGTTAGTATCAAGGATATTTATGTTTACGTCACCGCAAATAATAACGTTTTTGTTTTCCAGGGTTAGAGTAGCAAGGATTCTTTCAAGCTGCACGCAAAACTCGGAATTCGAGGATGAGGGAGAATGGCAGATGGATGCAATGACTGTATCACGATTGTTCAATGGCAGAGCAGAAGATTCTACTTCAAGCCAAAGAGACTCACAACTAATGTTGTCAAAAAACAGATCCTGACGGCGTTTGTATGGTATTGATGCAGTTATTAGGACTGCAGATACGCCGCCACGATTTGTTGCACGGTGACAATATTCGGATTCATAGCCTGGCAAAGCATACAGATGCCCTTCGTCTGCCGACAGCCACGTTTCTGATACGCAAATTACGGAAAATGAGTGTTCGACAATAGAAAGGAAAGCTACAAGGTCGTCATAATGCCCTCGAAGGCTACGAGTGTTAAATTGCACGAGCGAGAATGCGGGTGTTTGCTCAAGAAGACGTTTTGCTTCAGCGCAAGAGAGCATATTAGAAGCCATAATGAAACCAAAAGTGTTCCTTAATCAGTCGGCATGCCTACGATATGATTGTTAGGTCATCCGTGTCAGCGATGCAGTGCGCTTTACTGTTGTCGGTTTTCCTAGCCTTGATAATACCGTTGCCTGTCCAGAGGTATTTCCAGTTTTTTTCTTTCTTTAGGGTCAGAGCCTGCGCGAACAGTCGTTTTTTTTTCTGGAGTGAGGTGGTCGTTGATAAAAATGGGCTCGTCTTTTTGAGATTGGGTTGGAAGTGTTTAAACGTGCCTTCCGTGCTTTTTCACAGAATTCGGCCCTCTTGGCTCTCGTACAGAATCGAGCAATTATGTGTGGTATTCCTTTCTTGACAGGGACACGATGACGATGTCAATGTCCGCTGCCGCGACAGGGCATTTTGCTTTGTTCCCGATTTCCTGCACGATCTGAAGGCAGTTCTCATCCTTTCGGACGGGGACACCTCTTATTTCAACGTTGTTAGAGCGTGAATACTGTTCAAGTTCGCTGAGGCGTTTAGCCAACTCCTTGTTTTTAACCTTCAGGGACTTGTTGTCTTTGATCAAATTTTCGTTTTCCTTCTTCGCGCCTTCACAGATCTCATTCAGTAACTTCATACTTTCGCGCATCTCGGCCATTTCAACTCGAAACACTTCGATTTCTTTCGCCAGCTCAGCGTTCGTCGGCATGTCTAATGACTATCACAAACAACCTGAGGGCAGCAGTGTTTACGGGAAAAGAAGCTAGTTCAACAGACACTAGTTCAATTCACCAACCTGGGTAGGAAGAACGGGGTGAGTGGAGCGCACACAATCCGCAAACACTGCTGCCACACTGAGAGACGATGCGCTGCGCTCTTCTGTTATGTAGGCTCCTTGTCCAGGAAAGGGCAGGGCAACCGGCTTCGACGGTGATGCAGTGGGCCGGTCATGCGCCGTAGGCTTGCGTCCACTGGAAGCTGGTCGCACGTGCCTTGCCGATCTCAGTGACCTGGGCAGGAAGAACGGGGTGAGTGGAGCGCACACAAGCCGCAAACACTGCTGCCACATTGAGGGACATTGCGCCGCAGTCTTCTGTTATGTAGGCTCCTTGTCCAGGAAAGGGCAGGGAAGCCGACGATGATATGATTCGACGGTGATGCAGTGGGTCGGTCATGCGCTGTAGGCTTGCGTCCACTAGAAGCTGGTCGCACGTGCCTTGCCGATCTCAGTTACCTGGGTAGGAAGAACGGGGTGAGTGGAGCGCGCACAAGCCGCAAACACTGCTGCCACACTCATGATGATACACTGCTGACACGCTCATGATGATACGCTACGTTTTAAACGGATACTTTGCATCTCCGAAAAAAAATGGCAGATCCGATGTAAAGCGAAAATCAGTGATATGCGAACCAAAAATGAGGAAGGTTTATAGGTCACTTTAAAATCGGCACAACGTTCAGCGCAAGCAGCAAGCGTAAATTATGGTGTAAATGACTTTCATGTCACAATTATTTGGTTTAACCTGGCATTTGTGTTCGTCGTCGATTCACGCCACTTAACACCAAATTTTTTATAGCACAATCTAGCGACACAGTTGCAAGTGCATCATAAGCGTGGTATGCAGTCGTGTTCTGACATGACATGCATATCACGATTGTCGTGTTTGGACGTGTCATTTACCTTTGTCATCCCTTCGCGTCAAGCTACCAAAACGGCCGTGAACGCGCAATGAGCGTAGCGCATGATAATGTTTTACAATGCACGCATATCATGATTATCATGTTCGGACGTGTCATTTACCATTGTCATTCATTCACGTACGTGATGCAATATGTGGTATATGTGAAGCTAGTGAAACGGTCACGAGCGCATCATGAGTACAGTATCTAGTCACGTTTTACATGGCTCTCATAATACGATCATGCGTAGACGTGTCAATTACCTTCGTCGTCCATTCACGTCACGTAATACTAAATTTGGCATATATGGAGCTAGCGAAACAGCTGCGAGAAGATTTTGAGCGTAGCAAGTAGTCCTGTTTTATCCAACACGCATGACATGAATATGCTGTTTGAACGTGTGATTACCTTCGTCTGTTCGCCTCACGTGATACCAAACTTAGCATATGTTACGCCACCGAAACAGCCGCGAGTGCACAGTGAGCATGATATGTAGTCATGTTTTACTTTACACGCTCATTTTGATTAGGGAGATGACATAGACTCCAACCAAAAAGTTTTCAAGAAACCCGATGTTTGACTGAAGCAATACGCCAACGATCTGCGGAAGTTCTATCATGAGCGCAGCGCAGTCACCGAATATGCTGAGACATTGGACCACCAGATAAATTTCGAAGTGACAGCCATAGTCGAAAGCGAGCCGAACTGGAGGAGAAGGTTGTTACTCGAGTAGTGGCACATACAGAGAACAGCCCATAACATCAACCGCTCTCTCAGAATTCTTCTCTCAGTGTACACACACGGACTGCGCTCCACGGCAAAACGAGAGAGAGAGAGAGAGGTCATTAGCCACCCCTCGAGAGCTTTGAAGACGCTGCTGCTACGTAGTCTACGCAGTCACCCCTGAGGAAGGAACCAAGTCGGTTTCGATCGGGTTTCTTCAAAACTTTTGGTTGGAGTCTATATCATCTCCCAGTTTCATACCCAACCAGACAGACTTCTGTCAAATGTTTACATTCAAGTCATATCTTCATTATCATGTTTGCACCCGTCATATATCTTTGTCATCTAATAACGTCCTGTTATACCGGGTTTAGTATACGTGAAGCTAGCCAAATGACCATGAGCGCATTATTAGCGTTGCTTGTAGTCATGTTTTGCAGGACATGCATAATATGATTATTATGTTTGCACTGGTCTTATACTTTTGTCATCTATTCATATCACGTAAGTCAAGATTCTGTATAAGTGAAGCTAGCAAAACGACCGCTAGCGCACCCCCCATGAGCACGACATGTAGTCATGACTTACATGACATGCATGTCTTGATTTTCACGTTAGGGCCTGTCACCTATGTTCCCCACACACTGATGCCATACCATACCAGTTTCGAACAATATAATGTGAACAAAACCACAGCAATAACAAGAAGACGATGATATTGAATCATGACATTCATGACATACACGATGCATTTTACTATTATGCCTAGTTACTAATGCTCGCCATGCATTCATGTTATGTCATACCAATTTTGGTATAGATCTCATTATTAAAACGGTCGGCAGAGCTAAAATACTAGGCACCTAAAGAGGTAGATAAACAGGTGAACGGCCATATTCGCCCAGGTTTGCTAATAAATACTTCGCATTTAAAAAACAATAGAAAATACATGTGATTAGATTTGGCACGGCAAGTCCTAATTGTTGACTGTTGGTGGAAGCTTCCAACGTTTGTAAGCATGCAAGGTTTGTATTTCTTGCTATTTATGTGCTTACCACAGTCATCCTTGCGGACACATCTGCCGTTTTTATTTCTCCAAAGTGGACCTTTGCACACACATCTTGACTTTTTTCTTCGTTTACATGTCCATGTTTCTATATAATAGGCGACTCCGTCGCAGTAGTTTTGCGGGAAAAGACCTCCGCCGTCACAGACACCCAATTCTTCATTAGCGGGACAAGCTTAATAAAGAAAGAGTGGTGACAGTAGAAAAACTTGAATGTTTCAGCTTAGCAAATTATCCAGGGTAATATTATTCAAGGACAAAAATAAATCAAACTTTTTGGGGGCTCAGGTTTTCTCTTTTTTTACACAGTGATTTACAAGTAAAAGTTTTCCGGTGTGCAGAACAGTGTGTATGTGAAAAATTTAAGCGCTTTATATTAGATTTTTCAAGTGAAATATAATTGTCCCTATATCGCAATTCTAAAGGAACGCTTAGGTGCCCACGTAAAAAATGAAAAACCAGAAGGTCCCTCGATTTGTGAGGTTTAACGTCTCAAAACCACCATATGATTATGAGAGACGCCGTAGTGGAGGGCTCCGGAAATTTTGACCACCTGGGGTTCTTTAACGTGCACCCAAATCTGAGCTCACGGGCCTACGACATTTCCGCCTCCATCGGAAATGCAGCCGCCGCAGCCGGGATTTGAACCCCGACCTGCGGGTCAGCAGCCGAGTACCTTAGCCACTAGACCACCGCGGCGGGGCCCAGAAGGTCTCTTTCTTTCCTTAAAAGATACTTCAAGATGTTTGCCACCTTGAATTTCGTTCCTCTCTCCAGTGGAACTTCAGCGTGCTGTTAAAAATGCTGATTGAAGGACGTTGTTATCATGCAGATTGTGGCTTGTAGTCCTGACACTACAAGGAGGCAGCTAGTGATAATTATCATCGTGGCACCCCGACTGAATATTGTGATTATCATCATCAGGAGCAAGAACACCAACCACGAGCAGAAGAACAAAGGCCTCGAAAGAACGGGCGTTGAGCTAATCGGCCAGAGTGGGTGTGAGCTAGCTAACTAGGAGGACATGCACTTACAATGAGCGGAACGAGAGTGGAGAGAATGGGCGTCTTAAGCGACAGGTCGTCCTCTTTGAGTACTCAAGTGTCCACGACCAGGGTCCCACTAACATGCGCACCAGGCCCAAGATCCCGTATTTGCTCTTCCTCGGTAAGATAACGGCAAGCTGCACAAGCGCCAAGTGCGAGTGTTCCTGATTGACCGGGAACGATGATCTAGAAGATGCCTCAGCTGGAATCGGCTGGCTAGCGACTAGGCAGGCCCAACAGCAAGCTGGCGGTTTGGAAGCTGCTGCGATTCTATGTCTACCTCGTCACAACCGGGGCGCAAGCGGCGGCAAGTAAGCCGTAAGAGACAACATACTGACCGACCTGCCTCATTGGGCCATGCAGTGACACCACCGCAATGACGACCGCTACGTTGATCATCGTGACATCCCCTGAAGAGGTGATCAGACGAGTGCTAGTCACGTCGCGTGATAGCCGAACAGTTCCAGGTCATTATTTAGTTTCTGTAAACGCTGAGTGAACGGAAGTGTTGTCGATAGCGTCGCCTGTGTTGCGCCTTGAAGCCCCAAATTCGGTATGATTAAATAACCAATCTAGGGCGAAAATCTTGCATGCTTTCATCGCAGACGTATTGCTCTCCCGTGAACAGACTAAAACTATGAAATCATTCTGGATGTTGTTCTGATGAGACATGAAATACCTAGAGTGGGGCTGTTCATACTGAGCAGCAGACAATACGTCTCATATTTTACTCACGCGAAGCTAAAGATCAGCACAGGAGTGCACTCTGTGTCAAACATCAGCACGACTAGGGCCCAAACACACTTTTCACGTTATTTCGTCATTTAGAATGTGTGATTACGTATATCTTGATAAATAATCAGGGGAGCTATAGCAACCATTTTTTGTCTTTCCCTGTTTCTCGCGCTTAGTTAGGATACTTTATAATTTTATTCAACCTTGTGTTAAAATTCAACAATGAATTCAGTTGTGTTTCAAGCATATCAACGTCCTGTGCACTCCGCCCTTACGTCATCTTTAGGTAATTTTTTATTAAAATTCCAAGTAAAATTGGTGTATATTTTAATATAGTCCCTTGTGAGAATATATTTGAATGAATAAATCAAATCTACACCACGAAATGTATAGGCAACTTGTCGATTACATCAATGTGGAGGCAATAACACGTGCAGTCTTTTACGTGACGTATTAAACGACATACCGGATGTGGTACTGATTTTTCGCAATGATCCTTTATGACAGTGAGCATAGCAATAAGATAAACAAGAACACTTGTGCAATCAATGAATTGTGTAACCTTACAATGCATTTCTAGATAGCTCGGGTAACATGTGTGGGGTCACATGTTGAATGAATTGATGAATGACATTGTACACTCCGACGCTATGGTTTAGCCGGCACAATGTACATATTGAAACATTTGTCACGTCTGTCGGCCCAGTTAAGTTTGGCTGGAGGATGAGCATCGCTTTAAGCAATTACTGGCTCAAGGTATGTCCAGACAACGTTTGGCTTTATCGATTTCGAGGCAGAAGAATGTAGAGTTCTGCATGCGAAATGTTCACCGACTAATCATGCTTGCGACTGTCTTCAGCGTACTGATTTTCTGTGGCACTCTGCAACGCAATAAATGTAAACAAGCCTACTCGCGCACGCAGTAAATTATGTGTGTATACATTGTGCTTATAGCCTGCTGAGGTAACACACACGGTGTCACACACGTCACTTGATCTGGTGGATATTCTTCTCTACACTGCTTAAGGGCTTCCATCGCAGTATGGATATCTAGGCTTCCGTCGCAGTATGGATATCTAGAAGTACTTCTTGTCATCTCCACATAGCTAGTTTAATTTGGCCGGAATACTAGCGCTCATCCCAACAGTATGTGGTCTACACAGTGCTGCACTAACATTTTACGCTTAAAATTTTCACTACACTTATTTATTAACAAAATTTACTTTCAATTGCCACACATTGTAGCCTATTCCGTCTCTTTAAGTGATATGACGTCTTTTGTCCTTGAATGGCACGGTGCACCTTCATCGACCAGTCTGTTTTTGAAAAGATTTCTTTGAAAGGGTATCTCCACGTTGTATATAGCCTAGTGTTTTACAGGTTGGACTATGTAACTTGGGTCAAGATTTTTATATTGAAAATTCATTCGGAGGCAAATTTAACCAAGCACATAATACTCGCAGTAGCCTAAAGATGCTCAGGCTCTATCGTGTGTCCCCCCAAAAAAAGACAATATATATATATATATATATATACATATATATATATATATATATATATATATATATATATATATATATATATATATTTATATTTATATATATATAGTCTTTATAATTAAGTACTGAAGTTAAAAACCCAAAACTTGAACACTGAGCTATAGAAAGCTTTTAGAAATCAATGTCTGAATTGTTTCCTGCGCGATACGTCTCGCTGTAATTTTTTCTGCATTGTAAACACTCCCTGCGAAATAACAAACAACACGATGAACCGTCAGCGCACTGCTATATGCTCCCAAAGCATCGCTTAGTGAGGCTGCGAATCTGGACAAGAAGAACCATCTCTGGCAGAAAAATTGAAACTGGCAATGTTCGTCGCGCGTTTTTTCCCTTCCCTCAGCCCCGCAGCCGCTCGCTTCCGTGCACATGCAGCGCTCTCGTGCTGGCAACGTCACACAATGTACTGCTTCGAAAGATCTCCCAGCAGTACAGGGCCTTCAAAAAGCAAACTTAAATAAAGCGGAAAGGTTCGTCAATTTATGACGCGGAGCAGACGACAACGACGTCAGAATTAACGCGAAATACATTACCAAAGTCTACGACATAGCGTGTACGCCGATAATTATCGAGTTGACCTTGTTGCTCTCATACTGTAAATGTACATATTGATCTATATTCATTTATTATATTGGTGCCTATACACAGAAAGCAAGACACGAAGAAAATAGGAAATGAACATGTGCGCAGCGAACTTCTACAGCTGTAGTCCTGTTGTCTGGTCCCAGCCAGCACCCCTAGCTGTCAATAGGGCCACAACATTCAAGAGCGACTGTGATACCCGCCTCTCAGAGATAACGGCAGGACGCCAAGACAGACGTTCTTAGTGACTGTCTTAAGGTCCTGCCGTAATGATGTAACGGTGTTGCTGTGCCCACGCTATTGATGCGTCTCCGATATACAGCCGGATCATGCTTCCTTGAGACTGTCGCCTTGAATGATGAGCGATGGCGGCTGACTTAGCAGACGAAATATGTAGTTCAGTTCAAGGTATTAAGTTGTCGTATCAAGCGATTACTGCGTAATTCTGTTATGAGGCGGTCCCTGACTTCAAGGAGCAGTGATATGCAGTGCTATGGTGTCCGTGTGGATTGCTACGTGCATTAAACTCAGATTCTTGACGCAGTCTGCTTCAAAGTTCAGCAAGCGCGCTGTTGAAGAGAAGTGGCAATAAAGCGCTGCTTTGAGGAATAACGTACCTAAGAGTGCGTGTTTCACTCAATATTCATCTAACAAGAACTTTTATTGTGTGCTCCGATAGAAAAATACGCCTAAAATTAGGCAGCCAACCTGATATAACCAAAGCCATAAGCGCGAAAACACTCGCCTTAAATGAAACCTAATTAAAGGCTTGTACGCCTAGGAATAGCATATATGCAGAGTGCCTGTTTTCTTATGCAGGTTTATGCGATGATGCGAGATCTGTGCTTTTAAATGGTTCGACGAATGGTGAAACAAGCTGCTCATAGCACCAGGTGGAAAAATAGCTCCTGTATGCCATATAGGTGGAACAGTACTATTTATTCAATGAGTTTCAAACCTGTAAAAGTTATTACATTGAGCAATAACGGCTTCAGGAGTTACGCAGGATGCTCAGGCTTCAAGCCTAGTTTCACGAGAGATTGTTTTCATTCGTCAGGGGTTCCAGATGTTTGCCACACTTTGTCTTATTCATCCAATATGTATGACTAAAAGGCTTCATCAATGCTTTTTGAGGCTTGCTACGTAATAGCTTCTTCACCTGGGCTGTGCGAGGATACGACATCCACTGCGCATGGTGCTGCTCCTCAAGAGCAAAGTCTGCTTTATTCATTTGACAGATAAAATCGTTGTTTATT